AGCTCAGATACACTGTTTTAAAGAGAGAGACTGGAATGAGCCAGTTTGGACCCAGGCGTTTCCACATGCACCTGTGGGGAGTGCACAACGGGAAACGTGTTCACGGGACTCATAGTTCCCAGAATTCTGAGAGGTCACCCTTGCCTTCCACTGGGATATATGCTTTTAAGTTTCCTCGTGCGTGCAGACACAGGGTTGGATCCCCTGGCAGCATTTCTGTGGGCCTGAAGACTTCTGCCAGTGGAATATGACTTTCTTGGACCGCCGCCTGTGGAATGCGACGTTCTCGTCTCTCTCTCCCACAACAGCCCAGAAACCTCCCTCCACAACAACCCAAAAGTTTTGTTGGAAGGTTCCCAATCCCCCCCCCCATCCCAGACAGGATTTCTGGGAGTGTCTGGGGCTGCCGCGGGGGAGCCCCAAGAAGTCGCGTTCTGCAGGCGGAAGTCTCTGAGCTTGCGGAAATGGGGATCCGATGCAACGGAACAAACCCTATGACTGCCCCCCAAAATATAATATGTGGAGGTTTCTGGGTGCTTGCCATAAAACCCAAACGGATCAGATGGTGCAGGAACGCATTTCTTCCCTAGAGAGGCCCGAGAAACCCACAGAAAATAGGAAGACAACTTCCTCTCCGCTAAGGGGCAGCGCTCGATCCTCATAACCGAGAGACCTACACCCTTCTGCAAAAAGGATCAGAGAGTGAACAGCTGGGAGAAAAGATCCCGAGCCCATCATGGAACGGGGGGAGGGGGGAATTAAAAGGGTGGCACGGACACAAGAACGAAAACGAGAGTCGCAGGCAGTGAAGTGCTTCCCTCTCTGCCGGTTAGGTTCTGAACGGTTCGCTCTAGCCCAGCCTATTCCACATTTTAAGCCTTCTAACCAGGTTCGGACGACACACGGTGGTGTCAGTCTTAGTCTGCCGTGTGTGTGTGTGTGGGGGATTGGGGGGGGCACGCTCTCAAGAGCAGCCGCCGTCTCTGAAAGAGTAAGTGAAAGTGAGTCGTCCCATCTTCAAATGCGACCTGGGAGAACTGCAACTGAAAGAGAACATTTAAAAAAAAAACTGCTCAGTTGGTATGAGCCTCGTGGGTGGCTACCGGGGCGGGGTGGGGGCGCTCGTTGGATCGGGCCCTCCAGGAAAAAAAAAATCCCAGAGGAACAACCGCCCGGAAGTGACCCCCGAAGGCCAAGATGATCCCCCGTCTTCTGTAGGTGGGTGTGTAGAATGATATATACAGAGATGAGCCTGCGGGGATCTCCTCTTACACTCGCGGGACCACGACGTATGGCTGGTGGGGGATCAGTTTCTGCCGCTCATTGCAGTTGTAGATCCAGCGGGGGCGCACGAAGGAGAGGTTGGCGTTCTCGTTCAGCGCCTGGAGGGGGAGCGAAAAGCAACAGGTTCTTTCATCGGCTTGGGGAGGAGCCGTGGCTAAGTGGCAGAGTCTCTGCTTGGCGTGCAGATGGCCCCAGGTTCAATCCCCGGCAGCTCCAGTCAAAAGCCCAAGGTAGGTAGTGATGGGAAAGACCTCCGCCTGAGACCCTGGAGAGCCATGAAGTGGGGCTGTGGCTCAGTGGTGTAGCCTCTGCTTGGCATGCAGAAGGTCCCAGGTTCAATCCCCGGCATCTCCAGTTAAAAGGACCAGGCAGGAGGCGATGGGAAAGACCTCCGCCTGAGCCCCTGGAAAGCCATGAAGTGGGACTGTAGCTCAGTGGCAGAGCCTCTGCTTGGCATGCAGATGGCCCCAGGTTCAATCCCCGGCAGCTCCAGTCAAAAGGACCAGGCAGGAGGGGATGGGGAAGACCTCCGCCTGAGACCCTGGAGAGCCATGAAGTGGGGCTGTAGCTCAGTGGCAGAGCCTCTGCTTGGCATGCAGAAGGTCCCAAGTTCAATCCCCGGCATCTCCAGAGAAAGGGACCAGGCAGGAGGTGATGGGAAAGACCTCTGCCTGAGACCCTGGAGAGCCATGAAGTGGGGCTGTAGCTCAGTGGCAGAGCCTCTGCTTGGCATGCAGAAGGTCCCAAGTTCAATCCCCGGCATCTCCAGAGAAAGGGACCAGGCAGGAGGTGATGGGAAAGACCTCTGCCTGAGACCCTGGAGAGCCATGAAGTGGGGCTGTGGCTCAGTGGCAGAGCCTCTGCTTGGCACGTAGAAGGTCCCAGGTTCAATCCCCAGCAGCTCCAGTCAAAAGGACCAGGCAGAAGATGATGTGAAAGACCTCCGCCTGAGACCCTGGAGAGTCTCTGCCAGTCTTGAGTAGACAATACTGATCTTGATGAACCAAGGGGCTGATTCGGTATAGGAGAGCTTCATGTGTACCCTCTCCTGCCACAAGGGGGAGCCAGTTCACCCAAGGCACTGCACTCCAGGGGAGAGCCCTGGTGGGATCTCTGGACATGTCCGGTTTTGTTTAAAAGCTGCTATGCAGAATGCAGGGAACAGCGAACCCCCAATTTGGGAACCGCTGGGCTTAGTTGACGGACCGCCAGTGGGCCACACTCACCTCCTCAAAGGTGTCGTCCCATTCCTGAGCCGTGATCACATAGTTCACTCTCTCGTTCATGTAGTCTTCCACCTCCCTGTGAGTGGAGCAGAAGAAGAGGAGGAGGAGGAGGAGGAGATTGGATTTATACCGCACCCTTCACTCGGAGTCTCAGAGTGGATTACAATCTCCTTTCCCTTCCCCTCCCCACAACAGACACCCGGTGAGGTAGGTGGGGCTGAGAGAGCCCTTTCAAGGACTGCCGTTGAGAGAACAGCTCTGAGAGAACCTGTGACTGACCCAGGGTCACACCAGCAGCTGTCTGTGAAGGAGTGGGGAAATCAAACCCGGTTCTCCCAGATTAGAGTCCGTGCTCCTAACCACGACACCAAATTGGCTCTCACTACACCAGAAGAGCTGGCTGCGGCTGACAGATGACCGCCCTGGTCCTAATCGGCTCACCAGCCCCCTGCCCATATTACTTTGGGGGGGGGGCCCTCCGGCATGCCCCCCCAAAGCCAGCTCGCAGACCGAAGGCAAGGAGGCAATGCAAGATTCTTTGTCAGGGAAAACAGAAATCCAACTCCGCAATCTGCTTCCGGGTGGGGTTTTTTTGCAACAAACAAACTCTAGCCCTAGGATGGGTCTGGAGCTGCACAGCACCCTGAAGCCACATGATTTCAAGAAGGGAAGAAGAGAAGAGATTGGATTTATACCCCGCCCTTCACTACCCAAAGGTGTCTCAGAGCGACTGACAAACTCCTTTCCCTTCCCCCTCCCCACAACAGACACCCTGTGAGGTAGAAGAAGAAGAAGAGATTGGATTTATACCCCGCCCTTCACTACCCAAAGGTGTCTCAGAGCGACTGACAAACTCCTTTCCCTTCCCCCTCCCCACAACAGACACCCTGTGAGGTAGAAGAAGAAGAGATTGGATTTATACCCCGCCCTTCACTACCCAAAGGTGTCTCAGAGCGACTGACATACTATGGCTTGCCCAAGGTCATCCAGCAGCTGCAAGTGGAGGAGTGGGGAACCAAACCCGGTTCTCCCAGATTAGAGTTCGCTCACTTAACCACGACACCAAACTGGCTCAATTCCCAGAAACTCCACTCAAAATGGCCCCTCCATCCCACTCAGATCTGCGACAGATCGAGATGGGTTGCCGTGTTAAGTTTGTCGGTCGCAGTATTACTGGCTCAATTCCCAGAAACTCCACTCAACATGGCTCCTCTATCCCACTCTGTTATGCAACAGATCGAGACGGGTTGCCGTGTTAGTTTGTCTGCCGCAGTATTGAAGAGCCAGAGTCCAGGAGCACCTTAAAGATGAGCAAAATCTGTGGGAGGGGTTGGGCCGAAGAAGTGAGCAGTGACGCACAAAAGCGCCTCCTCCCGCCACAGATTTTGGCCCTTTTCTACTGGACTGGACTGGGACGGGGGAAGGGCACCGCGAATGCACACGCCGACGCCACTCACCCATTAAAAGCCGCGATGTAGCGGTTCAAGAGGCGCCGCTCCTGAGAAGGGAATTCGCCGTAGAGGAAGAAGTGCTTGCCCACGAACAAGTCTGGCAGAGAGAAGGCGAGAACTGGCAGGGAGGCAGCGAGGGGACCGGCCGTCCCCCGCGAACGGAGCCTGCCGCCTCAAAGGGCTTTGTTTACTTCATTTATACCCCGCCCCTGTCCCCAGACCTAAAACGGCTCATGTTGTTCTCCTCACTTCTGTTGTATCCTCAAGACAACCCTGCGAGGTCGGTGAGGATGAGAGTGTGTGACTGGCCCAAGGTCACCTAGCGAACGTCCGTGGCTAAGTGGTGATTCGAACCGGGGTCTCCCAGATCCTAGATTGACACTCTGACCACTATACCGTGCTGGCTCTCAGGTTCTCTTCCCAGGATGGATTAAGACAGAAGCTCCAGCCCCTTGATGGTAAAGATAAAGCTCAGTGAGAGGGCCCCTTGATTTGCATACGGAAGGCTGCTGGTTCAATCCCCAGCATCTCCAGTTAGAAGACCTCAGGAAGGAAGCATTGGGGAACACGCTGAAAAGCTCTGGCCATTCAGGAAAGGAAATCAACATGGAGCTTGACGGACCCAATGGTTTAATCCGTAGAAGACAACTCCCAGTGTATGTAACCTCCTGGTCTTCGACTGTACCTGTGAGCACCTAGGAGTAGTGGGTGATTGAATGGGCAGGCCTGTTCACCATTACAGGATCGCCAGTGATTAATCACCTACTTTCTAGCGGAACAGTCCGATTCGATAGATTTGTTCGCCGGCGAAATGCAGGTTTGCGTCTTGAGATACTGACACAAGAGCAAATCGCTTTACAGTTTAAAAAAAGGGACTTGGTTGTTAGATAGAAACACACACACACCCCACTTCTCATTCCCCGTTACAGATAAGAGAGCCCCCCAAATCAGAAGAAGGGTGTCTTTAACTCTCAGCCCCACCGATCAGGGCTATTTTTGGGCAGGAACGCACAGGAACAGAGCTCCAGCTGGCTCCCAAGTTGGCCACACCCAGCGGGAACTCATTAGCATAATAGGCCATGCCCAACAGCAGAAACTCATTAGGATTGGCTACATTAGGGGTGTGTGGCCTAACATGCAAAGGAGTTCCTGCTACAAAAAAAGGCCCTGGGTTTTGACAACAAACAAGGTAAACAGAATAAGAAGCAAAAGGTGGGTGTGGCTGGATGACCACACTTCTGGTAACATGGGAATGCGGCCTAATATGCTAATGAGCGGTGCAGTCGGGTGTGGCCTAATATGCTAATAAGTTTAACTGCTGGGTGTGACCTATTATGCTAATGAGTTCCTGCTGGACTTTTTCTACAAAAAAAGCCCTGCCACCAATGAATAATTTTCGTTTATAACTTTGTTCTCAAACTGTTTTTGACTATTGTGAAATGTTTGGACGCCTGTGTGGGGACTGGATGGGCCTTTGGCCTGATCCAACATTGTCATGTCTTATGTTCTTATGTTCTTAAACTGTTTTTGACGACTGTGAAATGTTTTGACGCCTGTGTGGATTCGCTGTTGTCATCCGCTCTGAGCCGGCTCGCAGGGAGGGCGGAATACAAGCCAAAATAAGTAAATAAATAAACAGCCTTCCCTGATCAATCCATTTAGTCGATTCAAGGCTAGTGCTCCTAGGAAAGAAGAGAGGAAGACGTACCTGGCAGCTCGGGGATGGGCTGGTCCGGCTCCCCCTTCTCCTCCACGTCTGTGTTCTCATCCGTGGTGCCTCCGTATGGGTCGTCCTCTGGCTCCGGGGCAGCCCCCCGCCCGCCCTGCTGCTTTTTGCGGTGCTCCTCTTCGACTCTGGAGCCAGGGAGAGAGGAAGGTCGTTGGGGACGGAGGGCTTGTTGTCGGCTAACCACAACACCGGCTTTCTAATCCTCAGAAAAGACAACATGAGCCTCTGGCCCGGCCACTTCTACCGGAGACAAAAGGGCCACAGAAGATGCTGGAGTTCTGCGGCTAGCATTCCAGATGTGTCATTGGGCCCGAAAATGCTGCCACCGGTAGGTGGGGGTGGGAAAGATGTCCGTTAGGGCCGCAGGAAGGGAAGCGATCGTTTCCTGACCACCATTCCGGAGGACGCTGCAGAAAACTGGGGCCAATTCTATGCGCACGTGACATCGGGGAGGGGCCACATGCTTTTCAGAGGGAAGAGCTCCAAGAACCAATCCCTGGCTTATCCGATGAAGGGACCCAGGAGAATGGCAGTCGCTCAGAACAGAAACAGAGCCGACGCATCGAAGCTCACTATAAGACACGTTTGGATGTTCATGGACGACTGCCGACGCTGGACGCCTCTTTTGCTATTTCGGCTCGAGAACATTCCCCCCCCCCCCGATTAACGTGTAGACTAATTCTAGGAAAGGGCCCCTCCCCGCTTCTCTCGTCTCCCCCAATCCCAACCCCCATGGCCCTCCCTTGACCAACCTTCTCAGCTCGTCGTCTGTGTCACCGGAGCCTTCCTCCCCATTGTCTCGAACGCCTGCAGGGAAACAGGAAGATCAGACCCAGTTCAGCTACTCAGCTGGCACTGCCACGGCCAGGTTATCCCATGAAAAGATCACCTTCCAGCCGGCAGATGTCACCAGACCTGACTACTACGGTTCATGGGACAGGCCCAGCTTCTTTATACAATTATTACAAGCCCAGCTTCTTTATTACAATTATTACAAACAGAATACCCACCCACATGCAAAAACAAAACTGAAACCTTTTTCTTGTGACAACAGCACCTCCTAAAGGAAGAAATGCATCTTGTTCTTGCATTGGAGAGTTCAGTTTGTAACCTGGGACTTGCTTGTCCTCAGTGCACAGAAATTAGATAAATCGGATACCGTACATATTTTTTTAGAAATGATTTGGAAAATATTTGAACACCTTGTCTTAAAATATTTTATTCATCACGTTAAAATAAAACGTTCCATAATCAATTTATTTTCTTTTTTCAATTTTTCGGGAAAAAACAAAAAAGGCTTCAGGAAAAAAAATGTGTTTTTCCCGAATTTTCCCAGGCCTTCACATCTCTAGACTGGCTCAAGGGTATCCAACAGGCTTCATGTGTAGGAGTGGGGAACTGAAACCAGTTCTCCAGATTACAGTCCACCGCTCTCAACCACTGCACTAGGTATCGGCATGAACAGGGGAAATGGACGTTCATCCCGGTTCGCGAGGTCCCACGAACCACAAACCGGGACGAACCTCCCCCAGTTCAGGAACTGTTTCGGTTTGTGGATCTTCCCTCCCTCCTTTCTGCTGGTGGCAGCTCCCCCGAGGCCAGCAGATGGGGGAGGGGGGGGAGATCGTGCAAAAGCCATTTAAAGGGAACGTTCTGTTTAAAGAGACCGCAGTCTCTTTAAATGCCTTCTCCAAGTCGCGCCGCCAGCACCAGCATACCTGCTGACACGAACCCACCTGGAAGGTTCGCGGGAGGTTCGTGTGGCTTGTGAGCACGGGATGGCACGAACCATGGTTCATGAAGCACTAACCGGGCCAAGTTCATGATGAACTTAGGTTCATAATTCGGTTCACACCCATCCCAACAGTACAGCAAGCTGGCGGGCCTGTAGTCCAACCCAGCAAGCCAGTTCCCTATGCTGACCAGGAAGCCTGGCGGGAAACAACCGTTCTCTTTCCAGTATGGCAGAACCATACGCCAAATCCTACCCGAGGGCTCCCCATCGTCGCTGGAAGCCGCAGAGTCATCCCCCGGCGCCCGCGAGTTGTTGTGGATGCTGCTGTTCCGCGAAGTACTGGGCTCCTCCTCCTCTTCCTCCTCCCCAGACGCTGCCTTCTTCTGCACGGGCCGGGCTGCTGGAGGGCTGCTCGGCGTCTTGGGTTTGTGGTTGGAGCTGGGGACGTTGGTTCTCTGGAAAAGAAAGGCCCGACAGCTGGGGCTGTGTACCTTCCTGCCCTGGATCTACGATGAACGACCGGCAAGAAATGTACGAGGAGGAGAATCCAGCTGTCCCCTGCACCGTAACCTTGAAATCCTTCAGAAAGAACCTTTCCTAAGCAACAGAGCTCATGCAGATCTTGTTGGATATTGTAACTCCGCGTGCAAGAGTATGTGGGAGGGAAAGGGTTAAGAGGATTCTCTCTCTCTCTCTCTCTCTCAGCTACACTCGGCAGTTGGCTCCACCCTCTCCTCGGTTAGGTGCTGAGCCTCTCTGGCCCTTGTTTGCCTTCTGTTTCATCTTATATAGAATCATAGAATGTTGGAAGGGACCTTGCAGGTCATCTAGTCCAACCCCCTGTACTCTGCAGGAGCATAGCCGAAAGATAGCCCTGCAGCATTCCCGAAAGATGGTCGTCCAGCCTCCGCTTGAAAACGTCCAGCGAAGGAGCATCCACCACCTCCCGAGGCAGTCTGTTCCACTGCTCAACCACTCTTACAGTCAGGAAGTTTCTCCTGATATTTAGCCGGTAACGACTCCCTTGTAATTTCCAACCATTAGATCTAGTCTTGCAATCCAGAGCAAGAGAGAATAGATCCACTCCA